CTATGTCCATAGGAGGTGAACAAAGTCTAAGACATTACTTTTACTCTAGAGTAGCTATTTCAATACCTATTTCTTTGTTCCCAGATAGTTTGATTGGGTTCCTGGGCCTCCTTCTGGGTGTCATGAGCACTTTGATTTTATTAGCTTAATCACTTTGTCCACTTAGATCATGTTACTAGCTGTTTCCTCTTGGCCAAAGTCAATGACCTTTACTAGAAATTTGCCTTCCTCTATCAGTCCTCTGTCACCTGACTGTTCCTCCATTATAACTCCTAAATCCTGAATTCTTCATCTAGAATCTACTTTTGTACTGTCTGTACTGTGTCTGTACTAAATTTGTGTCCAGTGGCCTTCCTCATTCTGTATGTTACAAATGCTGAATGAGGTAGTGGACATAACCATTTGTTCCCTTGGCTCTGTCTTTGTAATATTAAAAAAAATCAAATTTCATTCTGATGCCCATATTTATTCCTCTTTTTTGCACAGAACTTCAATAAACAATCTACTTTAAAAAGCCAACTTTTATCTATTCTTCATTTTTGTTGTTGTTGTTGTTGAGTCATTTCAGTTGTGTGAAACTCTTTGGGGCCCCATTTTGTGTTTTGTTGGCAAAGATACTAGAGGGGTTTGTCATTTTCTTCTCAGCTCATTTTACAGATGAGGAAACTGAGGCAGACAGGGTTAAGTGACTTGCTCAGGGTCATAAAGCTAGTAAGTGTGAACTCAGGAAGATGAATCTTCTTGGCTTCACAGGCACTCTATCCTCTGTGCTACCTAGTAGCCCTCCTCTGTCCTTCATGGCCAAACTTAAATACCGTGCTCCTCAAGAAGTCTTCTTTAATTGCTTCCAAGGGAATATGATTTTTCTCTCATAATCCCTGACTTGTGAGGGGTGGAGCCAAGATGGCAGAGTAAAAGCAGTGACTTGCTTGAGCTCTCCCCGAAACCCCTCTAAATATCTATAAAAAATGGCTCTAAACAAATTCTAAAGCAGCAGAACCCACAAAAAGACAGAGTGAAATAAATTTCCAGCCCAAGACAACCTGGATGGTTGATCAGAAAGGTAGATTGAGCTGGGTGGGGAGAGGAATGCATTTTGGCGTGGGTGCACAGGCTGCAACGAACCTGGAGCAGGCCTCAGAGGGCTGAATCGTGGGCAGCTGTGGCAGTTCCCAGACTTCTCAACCCATGAATGCTGGACACCTTAGGAGATCAGTTGGAAAAGTCTGTGTCTGCAATGAGAGAGAGAAGCACGGTTCCAGCCTTCCGAGTGTGGCCCTGGGGTGACAGCTGCTTCCATAGCTTCAGGCCCACAGACTGAGGGGGAATTGAGTGGCTGTTCAGAGGGGGATTGTAAGGATCTCTTCACTGGTGCAGGATTCTCTTGCTTTGCCTGTGCTTGGATCTGGGTCATAGTTCTGGTTCGTGGTCCTGGGGTGAGGAAGGGCAAAACAACTCACCTTGATCATAGCACCTTGGAAGAACTGAAAATTTACAGGTCCCTAGAAGTATCTCTGAAAACAGCTGCACAAAACCCCTGAAGCTTGGGACAGTACATTCTCCACACAGGAAGCAGACTCCTACCTTAACAAAGAGTTTATAACTCAGGTAATTGGCTGGGATCATGAGCAAGCTGCGCAGAAAAAGTCAGCTTACTTTGGTGACAAAGAAAATCAAAACATACAACCAGAAGAAGACAAAAAAAATCAAAGCTCCTACATCCAAAGCTTCCAAGAAAAATATGGATTGGTCCCAGGCCATGGAAGAGCTCAAAAAAAGGATTTTGAGAAACAAGTAAGAGAAGTAGAGGAAAAACTGAGAGTGATGCAAAAAAATCATGAAAAACAAGTCAACAGCTTGCTAAAGGAGACCCAAAAAAATACTGAAGAAAATAACACCTTAAAAAACAGCTTAAGCCAAATGGCAAAAGAGGTCCAAAAAGTCAATGAGGAGAAAAATGTCCTAAAAAGAAAAATTGGCCAAATGGAAAAGGAAGTCTGAAAGTTTACTGGAGAAAATATTTCCTTAAAAATTAGAATGGAGCAATTGGAATCTAGTGACTTTATGTTCTCATAAAGTTCTCACCAAGGCATTGTAAAACAAATTCAAAAGAATGAAAAAAAAGAAAAACAATGTGAAATATCTCATTGGAAAAACAACTGGCCTGGAAAATAGATCTGGGAGAGAGAATTTAAAAATTATTGGACTCTCTGAAAGCCATGATCAAAAAAAGGAGCCTAGACATCATCTTTCAAGAAATTATCAAGGAAAGCTGCCCTGATATTTTAGAATCAGAGGACAAAATAGAAATTGAAAGAATCCACTGATCACCTCATGAAAGAGATCCCCAAAGGAAAACTCCTAGGAATATTGTAGCCAAATTCCAGAGTTCCCAGATCAAGGAGAAAATAGTACAAGCAACCAGAAAGAGACAATTCAAGTATTGTGGAAACACAATCAGGATAACACAAGATTTGGCAGCTTCTACATTAAGGCACTGGAGGGCATGGAATATAATATTCTGGAGGGCAAAGGAGATAGGATTACAACCAAGAATCACCTACCAAGCAAAACTGAGTATAATCCTTCAGGGGGAAAAATGGCCATTCAGTGAAATAGGGGACTTTCAAGCATTCTTGATGAAAAGACCAGAGGTGAATAGAAAATTTGACTTTTAAATACAAGACTCAAGTGAAACATGAAGAGGTGAATAGGAAAGAGAAATCATAAGAGACTTATTAAGGTTGAACTGTTTACATTCCTGCATGAAAAGATGATATTTGTAACTCCTGAGACCTTTCAGTATTAAGGTAGTTGGAGGGAAAGAATTATATATATATATGTGTATAGATAGATAGATAGATAGATAGATAGATAGATAGATAGATAGATAGATAGATAGATA